GCTATTTCCTGCATCTCTGCAACAGTTGCTCAGTCATAGAGATTTTTTTTTCCCCCCCTGAAAACACGGGGATGAATTGATAATTGTTACATTCCTTTGGTTTTCTGTTTTGTGATTGTGTGCAACCCTTAATTTAGTGGAATAAATGAGAATTAGGGAAGCTACAGACTACTATGCAGAATAAATACGTAGACTTTGAAAAGCCTCTAAGGGGGGATGGTTCATTCAGATTCCTTGGCAGACTTGTATGGCATTGAGAGTCTTTGGTGTTTGCTTTCCAAAGGCGGAATCTCCTTTGTGTTAGCTGAGTTGAATTTTGACTGCGTATTTATAAACTTACTCTAGACTGTTAAAATAGTTGGTTAAAGTGTCAATCGCAATCAAGTTGCCTCTGTATCACCCGTTTCATAAATCTTTACCTGCTTTAAACCGTGCTCATTTCCTCATAGAGCTGTTGGTGAGTATGAAATTTGGACATGTAACCAAAAGGTTCTTTGTGGTTCATGATGTTTTAATCTTTGCTTGCTAATGACTTTTTCCTGGTCTTAGGCCTTCTTTAAAAATAAAATGATCTAATTACATATGTCGTTGCATTGTTTAGAAGTATCAGTTAGGTGGGGCTTTGCTGTGACAGTGTGTGTAAGGATGACTTGTTTTCTCACTGTTCGCATCTTTCAGGTGTGTGTTCTGGGTATTTTCTATGCATTGTGGCCATTTTCTTAGTAAATAATACTTTAATATCTTAGCCCCAAAAAGAGTTTACTACCTATATGCAGTTTAGTGTTCTGTGGATGCTGACTTTTTATAAAAAATAATAAGCTCTATTGGTTTAGATTAATTGATATGCATTATACTATGCTTTTTGTTTATTTTCTATCTAGTAGCTGCAGTCATGAGGCAGGATGCTTTTGTGAAGGATGTTATTTGCAACCTGCTCTGACAGGTTACAGTACAAGATGACAAACTTAAGGCACTCTTCTTGATCATAACAGCACTCCAAATTCAGTTATGTTGTTCATCACAAGGGTTACTCAGTGTCTTCATCTGTTGAAATAATCTCTGTTTCTCTAACAGTAACTCAAAGTAGACAAAACTAGACATATCTTTGTGCAGGAGGCAACCAAAAGTCCATTGTACTGTTATTACTATTATGAATCAGATTTTCCTGGTTTATGAACACTTGATGAGTTTGAACCTTGTATTCTATGGGTGTTGTAGTCTTTTATGACAGAGAATAAACAGTAGCGTGTTTCTTGTTGTGAATTGGGTTTAAACGTTTTTCTCAGGCCTTTGATC